TTGTGTTTTTTTTTCTTTCCTTTTCATAAGATTATTTAAATCACATACATGTGGTTACATGGTTGACTCATATATTTTTTGTTGTTTTTTTTACTAAATTTCATGCCTTAACTTTTTCATATTGAGAATTTTGCTATATTTGTTTTTATATGGTTAGTCCCAATATCATGATTATGAGTTTTGAAGTTAATGATTTTTTTTTTATTTCATCCTTCAACATTTATTTTTTTATAGTTGTTCTTTGTGTTTTTTTTTATCACTTTGCTTTCAATAAGGTTATCCTAATCATTTTTACATGGTTGCGGGGTTAGCGAGTTAACCCTAGTTGATTTATATTGTTTTCATGTTTTTTTACTTATTGAAAATTTCATGCCTCGATATTTTTTTATTAAGAAATTTGTTTTGTTGTTTTTTTGGATTTGACTCATATGTGAGTAGTCTTAGTTTCATGATCACAATTACAAGTTTCAGATATTAACACGTGTTAACTTTAATATTTTTTTTTTAATTTTATCCTTTAACATTTAATTTTTTTAAGAGTTGGTTTTTTTCTTTCACTTTTATTTCTACAGGGTTATTTCAATTATGTGTCAATGGTCGTAATGTTAATGGGTTAACGAGGGTTGACCCATATTTTTTATGTTTTTCTTAATTATTTTTTTAAAAAATTCATTATTGTTGTTTTATAATTGAGTTTTATAATTTAATTTAATTTGCTTTTATTTGTGATTTTTTTTTACCTTTTATTTGCATAGATAATTGTTTGATTAAATAAAAAATATATTTTAAAAAACAAAGTTATGTTCATTAAATAAAAAATATATTTTAAAAAATAAAGTTATTAAGCATAGCTGAGTGTATGAACTTGTTGTGAAATCAAGTATCCTTGTTTTTTTTTTAATTTTATTTTTTAATATATAATATATTTTTTGAAATTGGTATTTATATTTTTTTTTCTATAAAATTATCTTAATCATGTGTCAATTGTCATGAGGTTACTGTATTTATATAGTTTCACCGTATATTTGCTTTTTAAGTTTCTTCATTCTATATTGGGTATGATTTTTTTTTACTTTATTAGTGTATATAGTTGTTTGATAAAAAAAAAACTATAGAAAATATAATTGTTAAACATAACTAAATAGATAGAGATTTATATATGAGAGATTAAATATCTCAATTTTAACTATCTTTTTATGAAAAATTGATATAATTCTAATATATGTATAGACATTTCTATTTCTTATTGAAAAATATTTTATATTAAAAATGTATTGTAAAATCTATTTATTAAATATATTTTTATAAATAATCGCTCGGCCGCGGCGCGCGGGTACAAAACGAGATGAGGACATCCTCAACCTTATTAACTAATGCAACAGCTCGGTTCTAGATGAGGACAACCTCTAATATCACGACGTAGGGATAAGGACCGCTCTCCTACGCGCAAGTCCTCAAGCTTAGGACAATCCCAGATAATCAATTCGCGAAGAGAGGTGAGGTGCTGAAGCCCCATTACAGATTTCAGATTTTTCAGACCTGATAATTTAAGAGATAAAAGGGAGGAGGGCAGCTCCTCTCCTGGCACTGACTCCAGCTTAGGAGAACTACAGATATGTAATTTACGAAGAGAGGTAAGGTGTCGAAACCCCTTATATTTCAGATCTTCCAAATCACAGATTTCAAGGTCTTCAAGGGAGGAGGGAAGTGTACCTTCTTGAGGGGACTCAAGCTTCAGGCTCCTCCTTATCTTCATTTTGCGAAGAGAGGTGAGGTCTCGAAGCTCCTTGTAGTCCCGGTCTTGCTGATCCCATAACTGAAGGAATTCAAGGGAGGAAGGCAGCCCCTGCAACGATTCAAGTTTAGGACAACTCCCGATCTTCAATTTGTGAAGAGAGGTGAGGTGCTGAAGCCCAATGGAGTCCAGAGATTCCAGTTTACTGAGATGAAGGTATCCAAGGGAGGAGGGCAGCGCTCGTTCTGATATGGACTCAAGTGTAGGGTAACTCTCGATACTCAAACTTCTAAGAGAGGTGAGGTGATGAAGCCCCTGGTATTCAAGGGAGGAGGGAAGCACCTGTTTTGATATGAACTCAAGTTTAGGGCAATTCTTGATCTTAAATTTGCGAAGAGAGGTGAGGTGATGATGTCCCATGCAGTCCAGAGATTCTAGATTTATGAGATGAAGGTATTCAAGGGAGGAGGGAAGCGCCTGCTCTGATATGGACTCAAGCTTAGGGCAACCCTGGATACTCAATTTCCTAAGAGAGGTGAGGTGATGAAACCCCTTATAGTCCAGAGACTTCAGATTTCCCAGACGTTTGATTTTAAGGGTTGTGAGAGTAGAGGGCAACGTCTCCTCGTCAAAAAACTCCACATCGTTCCCCGTAAATCTGAAGCATGAAAGAGAAGGGAGTGCTTGCAAACCGCATACCTTGAGCTTGATACAATCCACAATGCAAAGTGTGTGTAATTTGGAGGGTAAACCTCCTTCAGGAAACGAATCAACTTCTGGAAGTGAACTCAATTGCAAATCCTGTAGGGAAGGGAGGAGGGAACGCATGTTTTCCGGCAACGACTTCAAATATGAGCAACCCTCTAACACAAGCCTTGTCAAATCAGGGGCAGCTAGTCCTCCTTTGAGGAAAGACACCAAATTAGGACAGTGACTGATTGTCAGATGACAGAGAGCAGGGACAGGTCTCTCGCCTATACAAAGGGATTCCAGATTGAGACAACGCTGAATGGTAAGTGCGGATACCTGGGGTAAAAGGTCTAGCTGGCACCACTTAAATGAACTACATTCCTCGATTTTGATATCAGTGAAAGAGGGATCCAAATTACTCATTTGCTCCATTCCCTTTAGCTGGGGATCTCGTCTAAAATGAAGGCGCCGCTTCTGACCGGATATTCTAAATATACGACTTTCATCGCCCTCAGATACATCGATTTCCCTGAGCAGGGGAGCCTCTGGAATTGAAACCACAAGCTGTGGACACGCTCGAATCTCAAGCCTCGATAAACTAGGAAGGTGACTAGGCAAGGCATTTGTTAACTCGGGACAACCAGCTATCAAGAGCTTTGCAAGATGAGGGAAAGCACCAGCTACATCTGTATTCCATTCCTGCCATTTTTTCATCCCCTTGAACTTTAATATTTTGAGGGATTTAAATGGCTTATTCATCGAAGAGTCACTTCCATAGAACTCAGAGCTAACTGCCACGACTTCATCAAATCCTTTAATTTGGAGCTC